TTGCTATAGTGAGTAGTAGTTCCATATCATATCATTCGGAGCGATTATTGCTTGTATCATAAGGAATGAGTGCACCGAAAACACCAAGACGATTAGACAAAAACTCGCACTTTGATCACCTTTTTAAATAAGTGATTACGCGCTTATTTTTCCAGTTTGGTATGAAGTGCGCAATATTTATGTTTTTTATCCAGCAAAATTTTGTGATTCTTTAGCAAAATACAATTGTTTGTGCTCGAAGTGGTACTGGAAGAAGCGTTAGATTTTAACTAGATACCATCAAATAAGAATCATTGTAACATACACCGCACCACAAATGCAGAGAATCCACTAGGGAAAAATCCGACGGTAGTCCGCAAAACTCCAGCTATTTTTTGCAAAGTTCAGCGTTTTTCGGAAAGCGAATAAAAAAAACTCGCATTGTTACACTTCGTTGCACTTCCACGACCGCGGTTAGGGCAAAACTTGGCAAAAATAGTTAGCCAGAACTCAAACAATGTAATAAAAAACTAACTTGTAGCGTAGACAACGACCATTGCAAAGTAAAGCCCTCTAGTTAAAGTATGGACGACTGTCACCACAAAACTGAAAAAAACTGTTCCAATCGAGCAAAGCGGTGTATTTTGACGGTTCGATTGGAACAACTTTTGACAGACGTGTTGCAGGGTCACCTTCGTCGCCAGCCCAGTCGGCATCTACATAGCATTTCACTTCGTCGGATCCGGGACCCAGGTGCAAACGGTGGTCGTTCGTAGCCCTCAGGTATCGGAGGACTCTCTTGGCTTCGGTCCAATCGCGGTTGGTAGGATTGGTAGGACTGGTAGGATTGGTAGGACCTTCCTTCCCAGCAGTGAAACGGCCACGCAGATGTCTGGCCGAGTGTTGATCGCAACGTAGAGCAATCTGCCCACCAAACTGCGGTATGTCGTATTTGTAGGAAATTCATGCTCCTCCTTTTGCTTTTGGTATCCGGGGTCAATCGGCACCTTCGATGACTTCGCCTGGTCGTGTCCGAATCGACGAATCAGCTTGTCGATGTAGTTTGCTTGATCGAGAGTGTAATGATTGCCATTCATCTTCACGTGAATTCCCAGGAAGTGCTTGAGTTCGCCTAGGCAGGAAAGCTTGAAGTGTTTCTGCAGCTGTCGGCAAATCTGCTCGAATTCTTCCTCGGAGTTGCATACGACAACCATATCATCGACGTTTATCAGGATGTACGTCTGTTTCCCGTTGCAGTTCCGGATGTACAGGCACGCATCGGCGTGCGCCTGGTGGAAACCCATGGACCTGAAAACTCCGTCGATTTTTTATTCTATGCTCGAGCGGACTGCTTGAGCCCGTAAATGCTGCGCTTGAGATGACATACCACACCGTTGTCTTGAACGAAGTCAGGCGGTTGCTTCATGTATGTGTCCTCATGCAGGTCCGCGTACAGCTAGGCACTCTTTATGTCGACGTGCTTCATCAACATCCTCTGCTTGCTGACCAGTACGAGGACCGTTCGAAGGGTAGTCTGACGAACGACGGGGGCGAAAACCTCGTCATAGTCCTGGCCGAATTTCTGAGCGAATCCTTGTGCGACTAATCTCACTTTGTGTCACTTCGGGTCACGGTGACTGAACCTCCGATGCCAAACGTGCTTGCAATCTTCGTTATGATGACCGCCTGCCACCATCACAGTGTCCACCGGTTAATTGATTTGGTACAGACCTTCTTTTAAGCATGCCACAGCGACGACGGCGTTCTCTTGAAGAATGCGACAACCAGTCGTATCGAAAATCACCGTTCCTTGCTTCTGGATGAGTGCCAGCACGGACAGCAGGTTCATCGATAGGCTTGGAGCGTATAGCGGAAAACTGAGGCCCACTTCACGACGAAAACTACGTTTGTCAACACATTCGACGACGCAGGAACCTTCACCGGCGACAACCGCTTGCTTCCCATCCGCTACACACTTAGAAATTATCGCCGACCTCGGTAATTTTTACCGAAATCTGAACAGCTGAACTGTTCGGTAAAATTTATGCAATTCAATTCAATTGCTTTTCAGCTACTTTGAAACTAAATCTCCACTAAAATGACTAAGATTTGATCATTTAAACAAGGTTGAACATGTTTTGAATTTATTTTCAAATTCAATAGCCTTTAAAATGAAGTCAAAGTTTTACCGAACGTTCAGCTGTTCTGATTTCGGTAAAATTTACCGAACACGCAAACAAAATCTTAGTGTGTAGGTTGACGAACTTAACCTCACTTTGCCGTAGCTCTCGGAAAAACTTTCGATCTGCGATGATGTGTCGCGTTGCACCGGAATCGACAATCCACGGCTTGCTACTATTGTTTTCCGTTGCCTGTCCTGTAGCTAGCGCGAAAGAAACGGATTCCTTCTTCTTGGTGGCTTTCTCCTGAGGCTTGGTACCCTTCTCCGAATCGCGAGCTAGTTTCCAGCATTCATTTTGCTTGTGCCCCTGCCGCTTGCAGAAAGTGACAAACGATCGGCTTCTTTTTGCTACCGTGACCGACCTTCAGCGCCAAACATGAGGCAGCACCCTGCCGTTTTGCTGCTTCGTCCAGAAGCTTCCGCTTGACCAACTCGAGTGTGAGGTCATCGTCCGACCGACTTTCGAGCGCGGTCGTAAGCGTGTCGAACGAAGTGGGCAGGCTCCTCAAAATAATCGCGACCATGAGGTTCTCTGCGAGTTCCTGTCCGGCGTTGGCTAAACGGGTAAACAACTTCTCCATTTCGAACAGATGTTCCGCCATGTCTTCGCCTTCTGCGAACCGCTTGTCACAAATTCGCTTTAGCAGCGACACTTTCGACGTCAAGCTGGTCTTTTGGTGGTGGTTTTGCAGCGAGACCCAGGCAGTATTGGCCGTCTGCGATGATCGAATCAGTCCGTGCTGATTATCTTCGATCAGCAGCCCGATGGTGGCCCTTGCCTTGGCATCTCCTGCATCCCAAATTGCTTGTGCTACCGCTTCCGGCTTCACTCCTGGCTCTACGTAGCGCCAGAGCTACTCCCGCACGAGTAGCAACTCGACCTTAAAGCGCCAGGTCGGATAAATGCTGTTGCTCAACTTTTGCAACAAAAAACGATTGCCGTCCATCGCTGCTCACTAATCGACCGAAAAAAAACACGCACCGGTTACTTTCCCGACGATTTAAAACGCGAACGAAATCAACATTTCCTTTTTGCGTCACTTTTTCTCCGTTGCTGGGCCCATAACCTGTTGCAGGGCAATGGTTATAACGGAGCAAATAAAGGGATAAACTATCTCCACTGAGTGACGACTACTGAATAACGTAAATTTCTACTTCTCTGTGATACATGGCAAACTGTGTGAGTGTGCGTGTATGCACAGAAAAAAAGTTGTTGAATATTACATCCAAACTGCTGCAACCAGGTCAATCCATCAGTTGTGTAATATAACGTTGTACGATGTTCATCGATTTTGCGAACAAAATTGCATCCATTTATGTAATATTGTATCTGATTTTTGCTATTACATCATTATTTCATACATCAGCTTGAATTACATTGATCGATATTACTTTTTTTTGCTGTGTGGGTGTTGTGTAAACGATACATGAATGTTTAGGGATTATGCACTGGGTGAAAATATACTTTTCGAATTGGCATCGGTGTTACACGGCTGTGTAAACCGACAAGACGTCCATACTTTTACTGTAGGGCTTTACCGCAAAGCTATAACATTTTGCTCCGCGGCAAGTGTTGGCAGCTTTTGTAAACAAAAACAAATCACGTTGCCAAATCGTCTGATAATATTTCCGCGAATCTCTGTATATAGGATTACTAGTAGCAGGGTTTCTTTGTAAATTATCTTGCAACCCTTGCTAGAAGCTAGCATTTCACATTAATTCTTTTCGATTCGTACGTGCAAATTCATATTTGAGTCCATCGCAATATTTTGCACATTTCTTGGTGCTATTGATTAACCAACAAAGATCAATTAATCAATAAAGTTCGAATATTATTTTTGTTTCTAAAAACTAGTTGAATTTGAGAAGCACACCAAAAATAAAGGTGATTGAATTTCTATTTGATTACAATACTCTCAAATTTGATCTAGTAAGCAAAAGAAATACTCGAAAAAAAAAAATATAATGGCAACAAAAAATGGAATGGAAACAAATAAATGTTCGATTGGCTCAAATTTTGATAGTTCATAAAAGAAATACTCGAAAAAAAAAATATAATGGCAACAAAAAATGGAATGGAAACAAATAAATGTTCGATTGGCTCAAATTTTGATAGTTCATTTAACTTAAAACATTCTCTATGCTGATCTCTTCCTCTGAGGATTTCTAGGTGGTATGCATCACTATAGAAAATCATCATAGTTACAAATTATAAAGACACTAAACATGACCCTTTGCTTCAGTAACGTCAACCTCCATGTCCATGAGGAGGGATTAAAAATACTCTAGAACCTATTTAGGATTATATCTGAACAAGAACAATCCAAATTTTACCCACCCCCACCATCAATAAAATACACTCAAAAAATTTATCACATATCTAATGGATGAAAACCATGTGAATTTCACATAGCTTTCATGTGATCACATAGCTAGAAATCCCACCACAAAATCACATGAATATTATGAGGCCGATGAAATTCATATAAAAAATCATATAAAATTGACGTGATCGCATAAATGTTATGTGAAATTCAGATGAATTATATTAATTTTGTTTATGGATGAAAATCATTTGCGTTTCCAATGGAAGCTACATGAAAACTATTTTCGGTGTAGGTGTCCTTAGTGACAAAAACAATCGATGATACTGATATTTGACCATGCATCAAAATCCTGGTCCAAACCTCTTATTTTTGATCAATCTCAGTTCCTCGGAAACTCTCAAAACCGAGGCTTATATCGTCAACAAGATAACCTTAGGGCCAGAGTTTGATGGGTAGAGTGATATTCGTGATAATGTCATGAGTCATATGGTTGATGATACTTGTGCACTTACCTTTTGATTATCAGTACTATGTGCAAACGCTTGTTGTAAGGATCTTTGCATTTCATTTTGAACGTAAAGACCAGTGCCAGTTCCATTGCCATGCCTACAACTTCGACGGAAGTGCTCTAAGTGGTTGAGTATCTAGAATTAGACCACGAAATAAGCGTTGTCTGTTCATTTTAAATTATGCAATTATATTTACCTGTTCTGAAGACGGTGTACTATGTTGTAAAGGCGATGATTTCAAGGGACGTTTACGTTTGTTAGGAGAACTTGCTGGGTACTTGGATGTCAATAAACCAGCTATGATTTCTGAAAGCTTTCCTTCATATTCCTCACACCAACATCTTAAATATGAAACAATAGATTGATATATTTGTTAATGCGAAACAATTCATCCGATAAGGATCATTTTAGTCAACATAAGTTTTATAATTAACAGTGGCGTTTCCGTAACCTTAATCTACTTGTGCGCCCACTCTCAAAACATAAACAATTATCAAAATATTTCTTACAATGGATAGCTATCGAGTAAACTAGTAAATTAAGTGTATTTTTCAACCGATTCGAGTATGAATATGGTATTAAATCTGGTTTTGAAAGTTGGTGCACAGGTAAAAAGTGTGGTTACGGGAAGCCACTGATAATTAGAAACATAAAATCTTACCGGAGCACGGATATTACAAATGAATCTGCCTTATTCTTAGATTCTCTGCTTAATAAACATTTGACCAACTCTGTTGACGGTTTTTCATTTTTAAGTAATAAAAGAATATATGTTAAAGCTTCTGCATGTGTTGTAACGTCCAATTCCGGAATGATGTCCTAAAATAATAATATGATACCAAATCAAGAAGAAATTAATTAAAACACATAAAAATTGAAACAACTTTTAAATTGATATAACTATGCCATGTTTAGTTCTACGTTGTTTTTATTATTGAAACTATTAGATCGCCTACCCAAATAAACACCACCACCAGGTAAGATAAAGTTTCCTCAACATGATGGGGACGTTAGTTTGCGTGGGCGGACTAAGAGTTTCGCCAAATTTAGCTTTGAATCTTTGTTTTCAAAAGCACATAGGAGAAACGCTTCTATAGTTGCGGTTAGAAGCGTTAGGTTCCTATAGTTGTGTATGGAGACTCAATACACAACTATAGGAACCTAACGCTTCTAACGTACCGCAACTATAGGAGCATTTACCTTACGTTCTTTTGAAAATATATCCAACAAAATAATTAATAAATTTAGGCTAAAATCATTGCTATTCACTTTCACTTATTCTTTGAGCGTCATTATATGGTTTATTGTCCCATGTGTATATGAAACTCCATAGAACACTGGATAATTATGCGTCCACTGACAGTATACTGCAGCAATATCACGTGCGCACGTCGGAGCACGAGCAACATGTTAGCTTAGGTATTGGATTTGTATTGTCTGCAATCAGGCTTGCCTAAATTCCTTGAACTAACCTATAAAGAGCAATGATGTCAAATCCAAAGAGCGCAAAAGAGCTCGAGCTCAGATTGATGCTCAAGCTGGACTTCCACAAACCCGCATAACGATGAGTGATGCGGGGTTCGTTCTTGAGTGAGGCGTGATTTACATCGGATCTGCTGACCAAACAACATTTTGCTTCGTTATACATTCGGAGAGAGAACGTACGGCCTTTGATTGACGCACGGTTCTTCCATTCAATATTATGATACACAACAATACATTCAATGGACTATAGGACCATTCCCAGAGAACGTAACATTTTGAGAGATTGATGTTTTTTGTTTTAACTTGGGAACCACTTTTTGGGTTACTCAAAACTCAGTCACAAAAATCTTTGATCGTTTATTCCGCTAAGTGCTTTATGAGTGGATAAACGAAATTATATTTCTGACTAAGAATGTACCTGGGAAAAACTAGCAAAATCACTAATTACTTCGTTTATGGATTATCCCTTGGTGATGTTTTCGTATTCTCCTGTTGCCTTTTAACATGTTCATTCATTAAATTCGCTTCTCTCGATTTTCGATTTTCGAGGAATTTGTGTTTAAAGCCATTGTTTATGTTTGGTTGTTCCGCCTATTTCAATTGTTGGTCTAGCGTTGTTTAAATAAGTTGGAGTCTGAATCGATTTATTCATAACCTTTAGTTGGTTGCAAGATGTCGCAGAAACGCAAATCAAATTTTGATACGTCCAGGTGTGGGAGCTGCCTCCCGTCGGTAGCATTGGTGCTTAGCACGGAAAACAAGATCGACGGAAAACAAATCAAGAAAAAAAAATATAGATAGTACGATCATCACGCGTTCATCGATTAACATTTTAAATAATCAGCTGGGTAAAAAATGTATTTACTATACCTAAAAATTCAGCATAGTATTAAATTTGCAATATGTAACTTATACATGATAGATAGCGTAGAAGTTTCTATCTCCGACTCTAAGTATATATTCCCGGCATAGCCCAAATGCCGAAATCGTGGTTCAGTTTATAAACACGAGAACTATTCTGCTTTGCCTAAAATATGGGGCTTATGCCGAGAATATTGACAGCTACCCTACGAATACAATTGCCACTTTGGAGTTACGGAATATATGCATACGTTCCAACAATACAAAATCACTCATTCATGCGCACTGGGAGAAGCCATCAAAAGCCAAGCTATCTACGAATACATCACGAAGCTCCAAGCATGCTTGGCATACACAGTTTTGGTTACGAACTTCTCATTTGCTAATAACTTTGAACACAGTTGTCGAAACATAGTTCTTTTTGAAGTAGTAGATAGAATAGAGTTTAAGCTTGTTATAGATACGTAAAAAAAAGAAGATTTTAGTTCTAGTAATAAACTGTATTTGTTTTTGCGTTGAAAAAATGAAGCGAGAAATGCTCGCGGCCAGGCATGGAAAATCATTTGCATTCATTTTGTGCATTCATCTACATTCATTTGCCCCTAACTTTTTTCATCTACAGAATTCCTCAAAATGATGTATGAAACTTTTGTAGGTTTTGCTATTAGCTACAACTTTTGTTTACAACTCAAATCCGTATCTCTTAAGAAAGACGCCCCAGAGCGAACAGAAGCCACTACTGTTTTTAAGAGAATGTATTTTACATTCACTGAAAAACAGTAACAAGTTCTGCCCGCTCTAATTCGTGATGCATAAGAGATACAGATTTGAGTTATGGGAAAAAGTTGTAGCTAATAACAAAACCTACTATAGCTTTAAACAACATTTTGCGGAATGCTGTTGATGAAAAAAGTTAGAGGCAAATGAATGTAAATGAATGCATGAAATGAATGTAAATGATTTTCCATGCCTGCTCGCGGCACATCTCGGACTTTTAGCGTAAAAATTCATTGGTTGTAGGCGAGGTTGAAATTGTCGCGGGAGGAAATAAAGTAACTCGCGAATACTAAAAAAAAACGAACTTTATTATAACTTTCTCTATTTTTAGGTTCACAACTCGTGTGTTCTTGTTTGGATTGTTGAGTAGAGAATGAAGAAAATGGTGGCTGCTCGCTTCCGCCAGCCGGGTGATAGATTTCTCTTGACAGCTGAAAGTTTTCTTGCACTGGGGGTGCGCAAACAGATGACAGATAGTGGGAATGACACTGATGAAGACTGCACATTGTAGTCGAAATACGTATCTGTCATGGATACCAACATCAATTAAGTGGAATTAAATGGAAGATAACCTTTTCTGCTGTTTTATACAGATGAACACGGCGATGTATCCCTTCGTGACCTTCGTTCCTCGTAGATTGCTCGATTTAACCAGGATAGGTCCCGCATAATCCACGCCTATGTGATGTTGTACGAACAGATGAGAGGTTTACCATCAGCTGACTTGCTGTTTGTCCTTTCAGACGATTACAACGGACGCTGTTGTGAACCACCTGACGAATGATGGAGCTACTACCCTGAATCCAAAATCGTTGGTTTAAGGTAGCGGTCAGCAAGGCTGATCCACAGAGAAGATTCTCAAGATGCAATCTTTCGATCAACAGTTGGGTGTAACGGTGAGATTTTGGCAAAATGATCGGATGCTTCATGTCGTACGATACATCCGAATTCGAGAGCCTACTACCAACCCGCATAATCCCGTTGCCGTCGATGAACGGTTACAGATACTTCAGCCTGCTCTTTCGAGACACTTCTAGACCTTGCTTCAAACGTTTGATCTCGTCGTCGAAACGTTTTCTTCTGCCATCCGAATAAGCGCCAAATCTGCAGAGTGTAGTTCATCCACGGTAAGGAATCCTTGTTGCTTCAACCTGCGAATCCTGGCAATCCGTAATATATATGCCAAGACACGAACCGCTGTATAGTAAGCTTCGAAAACCGATCGATGATTGACTTTTCGATTTCCTTGGTTGATTCACAACAGTGCACTGAAATTTGCATAGTAACCGCTTGTTTGCTTCGTTTTTCCAGCAGATCTTTATCTACAACCGCTGCTGGTACTGGACGTTCCCAGGTTGCTTCATTCCTGCTCAGCCATGAAGGTCCTGACCACCAAAGCTTGTGGTTTAACAATTCCTCCGGAGAAATACCGCGAGAAGCACAGTCTGTGGGATTTTCTTTCGTCGACACATAACTCCAAGATCTTCTTGGCATGAACTCTTCAATCGCCGACGTTCTATTCGCAACATACGTTTTCCATCGTCTAGGAAGCGAAGACAGCCACTGCAGCACAATTGTTGAGTCTGTTCACGCGTAATGCTCGACCTGAGGATGCTCAAGTGAAAATGACAGCTTCTGCATGAGGTCAGATAGAAGAACCGCTGCATTTAGTTCCAACCTTGGTAGCGTTATTTGTTTAACTGGTGCGAGCTTTGTTTTGGCCGCAAATAACTGAACGTGTACCTTTCCATCGATGTCTACTGATCTCGCGTAGACTACTGCAGTATAAGCTACTTCCGAGGCGTTGGAAAAGCCATGCAATTGGATACGGCCGTTGTGGTTAGGTAGCCATCGTGGAATTTGTACCTGTTCTAGTAGGTACAGGTTATCTCACAGATCCAACCATTCCTGTAGAATTGCTGGAGGTATAGGATCATCGAACTCCAAATCGTACAGCCAAGTTTGTTGGTAACAGATCTTTGCTTTGACAATCGCTGGGGAAAGCCATCCGTTCGGGTCGAATAGCCTTGATGATTCCGAAAGAAGTTGTCGCTTGGTGACACCTGGTTCATCCGGAAGAGAAACCTTGAATGTGAAGATATCCTCAGCAGGTAGCCATTACACGCCAAGTGTTTTAACTATCTTCTGTTCACCGTTCAGCTGCAGTGGAATCGCTTCTACACCAGCCTCGGTAACACCTTCAAGCAGTTCAGGCGCCCATTTTATTTATTTATTATTATTATAGTCCATCTGACTTGATAGTCTCAATGAAACACTTAAATCTAAATGTAGTCACTCATTAAAAATTAAAAATTGGCCAACAGCAAACGATGACGAAACATCGAGGCATTGATGTCAAAGTCAAATAGGTCAGAGGCTTCGTTGAATTGATGAATCATGGCGACAAAGGAACTGTTTGCAGCATAGTTGGTTGCATGTACTACTTCATGTAGCAAGGTTTTCGGACGGAGTGTTCGGGTAGGAGCATACAGATTAATTTAGGCCAGTAACTCAGGAACATCATATTCTGCGAGTAAAACTTTTGCAACGAAGACGACCTGCGATATGTTTCGTCGCTTAGCAAGAGTATCCAAACCCAGTAAACGACAGCGGTCAGCATACGGTGGTAAATTCAGCGGGTCACTCCATGGAAGATAACGCAGTGCGTATCTGACGAATTTGCGTTGAACAGCTTC